TTCGAGGAGGTGCCTGGTCGCCGTCGTGATCGCCGCCGCGCGCTGCGGCCCATCGAGCACGTGGCCGGTCGTCGAGTACAGCGGCTGCAGGCAGGCGCGGGCCGTGGCGCCCTGCGCGCACGCGCGCGTCGACAGCGCGAAGAAGAGCTCGTGCTCGAGGCTGAGGATCCGGACGCGGGCGGGCTCCCGGCCGGGGACGACCTCGCCCGTGAGCGTGGGGCGCCACTCGATGCGCGGCGGGTTCTTGGTGGGCGTCACCGAGACGAGGGGGCCGCCGTCGACAATGGTGACGAGGTATGGCAGGTAGGCGTCGACGGCGGACACGACGACGGCGAGGTGCGCGGGCTGCGCGGCGCCAGGCGCCAGGCGCTTGTGCTTCTTGAGGGCGTCGCGCACGACGCCCCGGTGGGTGCTGGCGGCGAGGGGCAACGACGGGTGCGAGTCGCAGGCAAACGCGCTGGAAAAGGCAAACGCGGACGTGGTCGGGAGGACAAAGGGGTACGGCATTGCGGTGGTGGGGGTGGGGGGGGGGGGGGGGAGGTCGACGAAAGACCCCTCGTGCTGCAGAGAGCTTCTGTGAGGGGTTGGTTGGTGTTGGATGGGAGGGACACCTCGATGTTGGGCAATGGTGAGCATCGCGACCCCGCCAAAGCTTGGCGAGGCGTTTGGTGATGCTACGTCATAGTGCGTTGTGCTACAGTTGGCAGCGCTCATGTTACCGCACCAACAATTCATAAAAACAATGTAGTAGTATAATTATGGTCGCATATTATGGCCCTCCGGAAAATTATCTTTACATATTGCTTCTCGAGAGGGAAGTTGGATGTGCAACAAACATCTCACAAAGACGTCTAGAATATCTGCGATTTCACGCTCTGTATTCTCGTCATTGATACGCGCCGATTTAATGGAGAGAGGCCCAAGACTTGTTGAACTCGAATCTGTTTTCCATAGTATTCGCGCTGGCCACGCCTACTCCTCCTTCCGCCTCGGCTATGATTCCGTGTAAGCAGGCGGCTGTTCCAGCTCCACAAACTCGGCCATGGACACGTCATAGCCTAGATGCCTCTTGAGAAGCTCATGCGTCACCAGCCGCTCCGGCATGTTGCCCACCGCGTCCACAAACGAGACGTGGTGGTTGACCTCGCTGATGCGCTGCAGCTCGTTGGCGTGCCGGTGGTGGTGCGGGCAGCCGTCGACGCCAATCAGGAAAATGGTGACGTGCGCCCACGCGTTGCCGAGCAGGTCGAGCTCAAACTCATCCATGTCCGTCGCCTCGCCGTCGAGCAGCAGGAGCAGTCGCAGCATCGGCGTCTGCGGGCCCGCCTGCCACCCGTAGACGGGGTGGTGCGTGGCCGACGCCTGGTGCTTTTCAAAGTGCAGCCGCTTCACCCGCTGCCAGCCCGTCATGACGCGCGTTCCGCCGCCAAACGCCACGTTGCGCCAGACCGACTCAAAGTTGACGTGGTTGGCGACGCCCATGTACGTCGCGTGGTTGGCAAACGTGGTGAGCTGGTAGCCGCGCGCGCTGTGGCTGTGGTTGATCATGGCGTCGACGAAACGGCGAATGATGGCCTTAGCAACATCTTACACCTGAATTAGCGAAAAATAGTTCTGCCAGAGTATCAGCTAGGTAAAATCACCTTTATTCTTCGGCTGCGTGGACCTCGAGTATCCCGTGATGAGATACTGATTGTAATTTGGCTTCATAGGCTCAAAGTCCATGGACCCAGACACGTCGAGCAGAATCATGGTATCGTCCGCCGCCGTCTCCGGTGCGTCAAACACCCGTAGCGGCGGCGCCCTGACTTGCTTCGAATAGCCGTCTGAGGTATGCTGCACCAGGCATGTGTCCGTCGGCGAAAAGTACTGTGGTGGCGGCTCGACGGCACACGCCATCCTCTGGCGCGCCATGTTGAGCGCCGAAATCATGTCCGGCTTCATCCGCTGTCCGGTCATGCCCTCACGATGATTGAGCACCCAATACAGGCGCTCCTCGGCCGTGTCCTCGTAGCCTCGCCACGTGGGTGTGATGCCTCGCCAGCCTTCCATGCCCTCAATCTTGAACTTGAGCGGATTGGAGGCCTGGTCGGCCCACGCGACGGGAATGGGCTCAAAGTAGCCCGCACAGAGAAGGTGAAAGTACTGGATAGGAAATCGCTCGCGAAGTTCGGCAATCTTGCGCGTCATGCCCACCTTGTCTTGGTAGTCTGCCACCAGCCGCCGCCAATCCTGCGTTGGCCATCGTGCGTGCTCTTCCTGCAAGATCGCATTGCGCAGAGTGCCGCAACGCGCACTTAGCTTTTGTAGCCGGTGCGCTTCTTTCTCTTCGGGCGTCTTGCGCGAAACCATCTTCTTGAACCAAGACTGGCGACGGTTGGTACTGGATGAGCCAGCATTCGGTAGTTCGAGGTGCACTTTGCCGTCGACAGCTTTCTCATTGCTCGTCTGCGAGGCATCGGGAGCTTTCTCGTTACTCATATGCATGGCGTCCATTGTTTTCTCATTCTTCCTCTGCGAGGCGCCCGGGACTTCGGTTCGTACGTTGTGCTTTTCTAAACTCAGCGCGCTGGCTGCCTTGGCGAGATCATCCACTTTCCATATGCTCATCGAGGGCTCCTGGGCATCAATATCCGACTGTGCTTTTCGATTGAGCACCGCGTTAAGCCCTATCGTATCTTGAACATATTGCGTGTAAAGATGTGGCACTGGTTGTGGCGGTGTCCACGTTCCGCCGTACATGTAATTGCCAAAATACGGCGAGCTGACATTGTAGCGATATGGATTGCTGCTGAACAAGCTGACTTGGGTCGTATAGCAGTTATCGTACGCCCTTTCACCTAGTTGCCCTTCATGTCAGACGGAGACTCTTCAGGATCAAATGACTGGATGGCAATTACCGGGATACATGACCGCTTTGGACCACATGGTCTGCACTCCGAGGCGATCCCACTTCCTGCGCTTGTACTGGTGTACCAGGCAGTTGCAATATGCGTCGAGCTCGTGCTCTGGTTCTAGGTCGGAATTGTACAGTCTGTACCGGATCTGGACAGTTTGTAGCATGTTTTGCATTTCTTGCTGCGCGGGGCCGATGTTAGCTTGCGCCGTGCACTTGAGGCTTCTCCTCCACCCACCTCATCCTGGGCGCGGACGTGCGCTGCCTGTATTACTGCATTGGTATGACTATGAATCGTCGACCTTTCTGTGGCCTCGTATGTCGGCAACATGCTATTGCCGTTTGGGCGAGCGTCTGTCAGGTGCTTGCCGCTCTTCTGGTCACTCGTCTCCCCGGGAGCGTTGTGAAGGTCTGGGTCGTCATAGTAAGCAGTGACGGCCGCTTCTACTGTCGTCGCGGCCTGTCAGCGACCAGTGTTAGTATGGCATCGCCAGGAGAAAAGAGGCGCCTCGGCGGTTATCTTGCCTCGAGAAAGACAAAGGCCTTGCCCTCCCCCGCTTCGGGCGCAAAACTAAGGAACTCTGCAATTCGCTCCTCAGACGGGAACATGGCTAGGAACTTGTGCGGAGGCAATTAAGTAAGATGATATTGAAGAAGAAGAACAGAGGACATGTTTCACCAAGTCGAAATATCTCAAAGTCCCTCGGTGGATTGAAAACAGGAAAACCATTGCCCATGACTGTTGGACGCGCGTTTTCTGGATAAACGGCACATCGGCCCTGACGCCCAGTTTGGCTGCATGATCACGCGCCTTAGCCCATGCCGGTAAGGCTGTCGCCGATGGGATGGGGCTGAACTACCAGGCAACTTTCGAAATTCAGCCGTAGCTCTAACTCAATAGAACTAAGCAGACTGGCGACAACTTTGGCTTCTTTGTCAAGGACTGGCATGTGCATCAGCCAAGGCACATGGTAACACCCGCGTTGTTGTTAAGCGTGTGCGCTGATGATGAATGTGTCATCAGCACTAAGCTGTACAAAACAACCAGCATCCTCACCCTTGCGACACGCGTGACATGTCAGAAAAGATGATGCTACGGAGTACTCATCGGAAGTGTAGGTTGTAACTAAACGGCTTCGATCTGCTAGGCTAGAACTTGCAAACGCCAAGTAGAAGTCTTGGCATCATCATGGGTAGCCGATCTCGTTAGCGTTTTTCTGATAAAAAAGGATGAAATCACAGTGGAAAAAAAACCTACTGCGCTCAGAACCTAGGTAAGGTAGTTAGAAACACTCGCCTGCGTTCCCCACAATCAAAAAGAAATCAAAAAAGAAATCTCCGAGGACGGAATCGAACCGCCGACTTTTCGATGACAATTAATCAATTACAGTCGAACGCCATGAACCAACTAGACCACTCAGAGTTGCTTTTCTTGAAGACCAAAGCCTCGCTATTTTATCATATGATCACTGCGAAGCAGGCCAACGGTTATTATTAAGTTGTTCAGAACAGCATTTCATTAACTAGGTACCTAGGTACCAAGCCAAGTCCCTCGCCTTCTAGCAGCAATATGGTCGACATGGTACTACTGCTGGATGCAGCTTCGAATCGTCGCATGCTCGTACTTCGCGCCGCGCATTTCTATTCCCCCATTTTGTCCTGCGCGCCATCTCAGACCGCTTGCATAACAACACGAGCGCCACCGAGTCCTTTTCTCAATAATTGGTTCAAGTCACGGACTCGTGCAAAATGACGACGCTGCGTTCCTACTTTATGAGAATATGATATGAGTCGCCAGATGTTGCGTCGCCGACTGTCATGTCCCTGGAAAGGAAAATGATAATCTTGGATGATGCACTGCCTTTAGACTGTACCCTCTTGTACCACTTCAGACATAGGTTCCTTGCTCACGCAATCGGTGCAAGAAAGATGCTTAATATATTCAAAGCGCCGTTTTTTGGCCATTTACAAGCTCTATTAATTGATAAACTAGTCGCTTTCATCCTCGCTGTCATCACTGCCTTCCTCCTCGTCATCAAGCTCCTCCTCCTCCTCCTCGCTGTCCTCGGCACCATCCGCCCGCGGGACCATGACAAACGCCGCCAGGCACGTAATACGATTATGCGTCTCATATAAGCCCGCCAGCGTACCGACCTCGTTGCCCTCGCCGGCGCGCAGCTCCTGATCCGTGACCGTCCACGCGCGCACCTTGCCGTCGCTGCTCGCCGCCACCACGTACAGCAGCCCCGGGTTGAGGTTACTGCGGAGCACCGCAAAGTCTTTGATGCGGCCCGTCACGCCGGCGTCCTTGCCGCCGATCTGTCCGACGAGCTTGGCAAGAGGCAGTCTCTCGGCCCCGTCGTCCGTCTCCTGCTTCACCAGGTCGTCCGTCTTGGTCGAAAAGAACAGCACGCGGCCGTCTTCGGTCGACACCGCCAGGACCGAGTCCGCCTGGCCGCCCTTCTCCTCCTCTTCCTCTGCGCCACCCAGACTGACATAGGTCACCTGGTGAATCTTGGTCTTGCACGGCATGACGCGGCACTTGGGCACGCTGTCCATGCCAAACGCCACCACGTCCCGCTCAAACGCCACCGCAAACTCGTCCGCGCCGTCCGCGCTGCCCCAGACGACACGCCGGCCCTCGCCGCTCGAGTGCTTGCCCTCGCCGGCCTGCACCAGCATGTCCCTCGTGAAGCTGAGCACGCCGGCCTTTTTCCCCGTCACCAGGTTCCACAGCCGCATGCAGCGCTCGCCGCGACTGACGCTGATCATGAGCTTCATGCTCGGGTGAATGGCAAAGTCGACGACGCCCGAGGGCGTGCCGCCAAACGGGGCCGTGTCGCCGCTCGGCCGCCCAAATGCCGCCGGGATCGGCGCCTTGATGGTGCTCAGCATCGACCAGTCGCGCGTCCGCGTCACCGCCAGCGTCGAGTCCTCGCTCGCCGACAGCAACTTGGCGCGCGTCGGGAAGCGCAGCGCCGTCACCGTCGACGCGTGGTGCAGCAGCGTGCCCACCTCGCGGTTCTTCGGGTTCTCGAGGATCGGCCGCGGCGCCACCGTGGCGAGCAGCGCCCGGCTCTTCTTGTCGGCCGCCTGCGGCGGCGGGTGCGCCGACAGGCTGTACACGTGGATCCGCTCGTCGGTGCTGCCCGTCGCCAGCAGCACCTTTTGCGCCTGGCCGGGCAACGGGGCCGACACGGGCGACACGGCGACGCAGCGAATGGCCGAGCTGTGCGCGTTGAAGAGAAACGTGTCGGAAAACTGGCACTCGGCGTCGTTGTGAAGAGCGGCTGTCATTCCATGCAGCACCTGGTCATAGGAGCCGGCAATGATTTGAAGGGTCTCGGGCTGCAGGCCGGACGAGTTGCTGTTTGTTTGTGTCGTCTTTTTCGTAGCGGCCGGGGCGGCTTTTGCCTTTTTATTTTGCTTTTGTTCGGTAGAGACCGGAGTCTCAAATGCAACTGCTTGTTGTCTCTTTCTTTTCGCCATTTTTTTGGTGTGTCTTGTTGTAGAGAATTGGAAAAATCTGGTCGAGAGGAGTGCAGCTTTCCTCGAGGTTACAGAAAAAAAGTTTTGGGGACAGTACTGATAAGATAAGCCCCAGTTGCCTCTTTCGGTCGCTCCAGCTCCAGCAGCCAGCCTCGACTTCTATAAAAAGCGACAGCGAGATTTAAATTTGAAAAATTGAAGATCAATACTTGTCAGAATTGAAGAGAATGAAAATGAAAGGATATGGTTGCTATATCATTATGCAATCATGCAGTCATATATACGCTTACTTACACGCGACGGCCGCTGCTTCGCGAAATGCCAACTCTATCTGCGGCCGCCACCTCCTTCAATGGCGCTAAGGCTAGGGAATCGATTTGAGAAATCGTCTATGTAATCCTCCTTGTCCTGGGTAGACCACGGCAAGGCCGGCTGTCCAGGCAAGTCTTCCGCAACCAGCTGCTCCGGCTGGTTCCGCAATCTGTTCTTTACAGGCGACAGCGACCGGTCGCGTGTGACGGAGCCTGTGGGGATGTTGTTCAGGTGCTCTGGCTTCTTGGGCGGCGGCCGAGGCGTCGGTTTGTTAAGACCTGTAAGGGATGGCGCGCTTGCAACTGGCGTAATATCCGTTCTCGGCGCCGGCGTAGCTGCCTGCGGCATGGTACTTGAACGGGCGACGCCATCAAGCACCGGCTTTCGTTTGATCTGCGGCTTGAGTTTACTAGCAGCCGCGGCAGCATCTGCGTACTTGCCATAGCCTTCAGCCGTTCGCGGCACACTGTTCTGCGTCTGTTCCTCTGCCATGTAAGCCTGCACCCTGTCCTGTATACTGCTAGGCTTAGGCCCGGGTACGGGCTTCTTTCCCTGCGCTGCGCCGGCCAGTCGCTGCCGGTATTCAGACTGCGCAGCGGCCACTCTCTGCTCTTCTTCCTCTAGCTGTAGACGCTCACGCTCACGGCGCATTTCTGGCGTCAACTCTTCCTCGCCTTCATCACCACTGCTCTCGTAGCCCTTGACACCGGGGATGGTCGAATCGCTTGATGGCGTCCAGGTTTGCGCTGGCTGCTTCTTATCACCAACAGTACTCGGTGGCTGCTCAAATTTGCTGAAAGCAGTTTCTAAAACGGCGTCTCGAAGCTTGTGATCCGGTCGGGCGTTGTAATCGTTAGCCACGACGCGATCATTTCTTTGGCCAAATTCAGTAGGAGTGCGGGTTTGGTTTTGCAACTGATCGTAACCATCACCCAACGGCGGTTCAGGATTTTGCGTAGATTTTTTGCTGTGATCTGGCAAAGAGTGCTTCCGACTGTCAAAGTTGGTGCTAACAGGTCGGGGTCGGCTCGCATTGAAATCTGAGTAGCCGCGCACGTTCTCGAACTTTGGAGTTTCGGGCGTGGTTGGACGAGCTTGTAATCTGGTAGTTTGGACCGAAGAGGCAGGAGGTGTCGGACGAACAGAAACGGAGGAGGATCGCATGATGGGTTTTTGCTGTATAAGTTGAGCCGGCGCCGCCATTTGTTTCTGTTCCCTCTCAGAGGCGGGGTCAAATGTCATCGTGCCGGTTGATACATAACGGGATGCAGTGATCGAAGCTGGGAGTGGTTGAATAGAGACAGGCCGGATATTGACTGGCTGAGATGTCGACGGCTTAATGGCTGCCGGGGCTATCGCTATCGCTGGTGGCGCAACAGATGGCCTGCTCACAACAGGTGTAACAGAGTGGGGGCGCTCCAATGGCACAGTGGCAGGGGCAGCTTGTCTGGATGCCGCAAAGGCCGAGTCTGCTAGCTTGTCGGCCATGTTGATCTTGGGAGCCACACTTGGTTTCGGCGTTGTTGGGCTCTTGGGGTCAAAATCGAACTTGTTGCCCTTGTGATGAAGCAGTGAAAACTGATCCAGGCTAGGAAATCGCTCTGAAATGTCGTCAGATACAGACGGCTTCGCGCTCGCGCTCGCGTTCCCATCCAGCGCGGCGAATGGGTCATCGTCTTTCACACGATTTGAGGCGCCGCTGACCGCAGGCGGCTGAGATTGTGCCGGCGATGGCGTTGGTCGACCACGCCGCATAGGTGTAATATCTGGTAGCTTTTCCTGACTTTGAACTGGGGCAGATAACGACACACCAACTACTGGTTTCGGTGCTTCTCGGTACGCTTCGCCCTTCGTTTTAGACGGTGATTCTGACCCGGAACGCCCCGAATAGATCTGAATGGTTAGCTGAGTTGCGAACTACCACGTGCAATCAATACGTACATCGGGAATCGGAATCTTGCGGCCTTGCATGGCACAAGCCTCGGCCACCACCTGGTATATATTCGGTCGAGCATTCAGGTCCTCTCGGAGCATGGATGCTACAAGAGTCAGTATTCAGCCATCGCAGGATGGAAACAGCACACGTACCGATAAGTCTCTTGATTTTTTCAGAAAAATTGGGATGGCTGGGGAATTTGTAGCTCGCGTTCAGGATTGCAAGCTGCCCCTGGTCTTCAAACGGGGTGGTATAATAGCAGAGCTTGTACAAGAAGACGCCGAGGGCCCAAATATCGGCCTTTTCGTTGAGGGGCTGTTTTCGGTAGACGTCGACCATTTCGGGACTTCTATATTGGAGGGTCGTATGTTTCTGCACATCCTCGTCCATCAAGCGACACTCGACAACCGACGAAGGTGCCGGTCTCGGCGGGGCCGCGGAGCCGAAATCGCAGAGCATAAAGCGGCGGCCGCCGGAGCGCGTGGTGATGAGGACGTTTTCGACCTTGATGTCGCGGTGCAGCAGCGCGGGCTTGAGGTAGTGCATGCAGGCGACGCCCTCGGCAATGTCAGCAAAGATGTTGAGAATCTCAGGTTCGGTAAGGCGGTGCTGCAGGCGCGTATTCATAAAGTCAATGAGGCCGCCGCCGTCGCAATACTCCATGAGTAAAAAGACCTCGTAGCCGCCGCCGCGCAGCTCCGAGGCGTGCGAGTCCATGTAGGCGACAATGGGGCGGTGGCCCTTGAGGCGCTTCATGGTCTCGACCTCGGTGCGCATGGCGCGCAGGCTCTCCTTGTCGGGGACGGCGACACGCTTGAGGACGGCGAGGTCGGTGCCATCGACGGGCGCGGGCAGCCGCACCAGGTACACGTGGGCGAAACCGCCCTCGGAAAGGTACTTTTGGATCACGACGCGGTGGCTGCCAACCTGGATCTTGGTGCCCGACGTAAACGTGCCCGGGGGAGCGCCGCCTCCGGGACGGTGGCCGTGGCCGTGGCCCGGCAGGCCGGCATTGCCACTGGCAGGATGCACGGCGTAGCCCTGCTGCGACGGAGGAGCGTGGCGCGGGGGCACCTGGTGGCCGTAGGAAGTCATGATGCGGCGCGCACTGTGCAAGCGAGAAGGCGGTTGCCGCTTGTCCTTGTTCTGCTTGTCTGGTAGGAAAGCTGGCGAGTGAAGAGGCAAAAAAGTGAGATCGACCGGAAGGGGGGGGGGGGGGGGGGGGGG